GTTTTGAGGAGATCCAATAGACATACTTGTCCCCCTATTTGGACTCAAGACTTTATTTGTCCCACTGTCTCCCATTCTTCTTTAGCCAACCATATTCAGTACCCCATTTCGAATTATGTTTCTTATTCCACTATCTCACCCTCATATATAAAGCCTTGCTCTCCAATCCTTCCCTAGTTGAACCTAGCTCCTTTGCTCAAGCATCTAAAGACCAACATTGGATTGATGCTATGAAAAAAGAAATCCAAGCTTTGGGGCTTAATCACACCTGGTCATTGGTACCCTTACCTCCTGGAAAAGTTCCCATTGGATGCAAATGGGTTTACAAACTAAAATATAAGGCAGATGGTACTCTTGACAGATATAAGGCACGTTTGGTAGCTAAAGGCTACACACAACAAGCGGGTATTGATTATGCAGAAACTTTTTCCCTTGTTGTAAAGATGGTTATTGTCTGGACAATCTTGGCCTTGGCTTCTATACACAATTGGCCTCTTTATCAACTAGATGTTAATAATGCTTTCTTGCAAGGAGATTTGCAGGAAGAAATTTATATGAGTCTTCCTCAAGGGTTTTCAAAGCAAGAAGGGAAGGATCTTGTTTGCAGGTTGCACAAGTCTTTTTATGGCTTGAAACATGCATCTAGGGCCTGGAACTACAAACTCACTTCAGCTCTCTTAGATGGTGGATTTCAACAATCGAAATCAAACTATTCTTTGTTTGTTAAGCACCAAAATTCTCACATTGTTCTCTTGTTAGTTTATGTAGATGAAATTGTCATCATTGGTACTAGTTTGGACTTGATACAGCAGACAAAGGACTTGCTACATTCTAATTTCAAACTCAAAGACTTGGGGCTACTAAGATATTTCTTGGGATTAGAAGTTGCAAGATCCTCCAAGGGCATTAGTTTATGTCATCGAAAGTATGCCCTGGAGCTAATTTTAGATTCTGGTTTGGCAACTTCTAAGCCTTTTACTGTTCCTATGAAATCCAATTTGAAACTCACTTCTACAGCCTATGATAGTCAGTTTTCTATTGGTCTTGATCCTCTCCTTCCAGATCCTTCAGTTTATCAGAGGTTAGTTGGGAAATTGTTGTATTTGTGCATCACCAGACTTGATATTAGTTTCTCAGTCAACTTGCTGAGCCAATTAATGCATTAGCCCAAGCAATCCCATATGACAGCAGCTCTCAAAGTAGTGAAGTATGTACAATCAACTCTAGGATTGGGTTTGTTTTTCCCTGCAACTAACTCCCTGATTTTGTCTGCCAATAGTGACTCTAATTGGGGCTCTTGCCTCATGACCAGGAAATCAGTTTCTGGTTACTGCATTTTCCTCGGCTCTTCCTTGATTTCTTAGAAATCAAAACAACAGGCGACCATTTCTAAGTCTTCCTCTGAAGCTGAGTATAGGGCTATGGCCTCTACATTTTGTGAGATCATTTGGGTAGTCCAGCTTCTTAAATAACTTGGGTTTTCTGACTTGTTTCTTGTTCCCCTTCACTGTGATAATCAAGCAGCCACCTACATTGCTTCCAATCCTATGTTTCATGAGAGAACCAAACATATTGATATTGACTGCCACATAGTCAAAGAGCAGCTTAAAACTGGCCTCATTCGTACTGCCTATATCCCAATGTTTGAGCAGCCAACTGACATCCTTACCAAGGCTCTTGGGAAACATCCTCATCATCATTTGCTACACAAGTTGGGAGTGTTGGATCTTTACCACCCTCCAACTTGAGGGGGGTATTGGAAGTATTAAATATGTATTAACTGTTTAGTTTGTTTTAGTTTTGTTAATACATTCAATTTAGTCTGTTAGTAAAGTTGCTGGTCAGTTATTTAACTTAGTCAATTTAGTTAACTCAAGTTAGTAGTTAACTTTGGTTATCTTGTTGTATATAAAGAAACCTTACTCATCAATAAACGTGTGGATCATTATTCTTTCCCAAATACACTCTTTTCTGTTTCATTTCCATGTAAATCAACATTGTGAATTAATTTAAAGTGATGTTATTGACTCCTCATAATTTGTCTTAGTAAACCTCGTTTTTTTATTTAATTATAATATTATCCCTCAAAAAAATTACTAAAGATGGTGTAAATTCTTTTTTATACAAGAGAAAGAGTTTAACGAAAAACATGTAAGTACAACAAAACCTCTCTATAGTCATACCGATGGGATTAACTAATTTTATTATTATAAAGAGATTATAACTTAATATAGGTGTAGTTACAAAAATTATTGTTTTGATTTCTTATTTTATAATTCATGTTTTAGTAGTATAGTATTAGGATTTCAATTTATATTTTAGTAGTATTAGGATTTCAATTCAACGCTTCAATTGTCTACTTTTGAAATGTATAGAAGACCGTGTCTTGAAACCAGCAAAAATAAGCGTCATTGATGGAACTGTAAATGCAGTTGATGTGTGGTCAATTGATGTGAAGCCACAGATAATTACCAATGGTTTTAAGCACCGCAAAATTAGAACCCACAGTGTCGATGAATTGCAAGTTACAAATGAAGTGGATGAGGTAAATAAAAGAGTCATTGCAAAATTGAGGGATCAGATTCGACATCTTTACTACACTAATAAAATGGATATTAATGTCTTCCTCGATCATCCAAATGAACAACAAATCGTATATACTTTAACCAAAGAAGAAGTTATTACTGCAATTAGAAAGACGAGAAAGGAAATAATCTTAAGGATGATAATGCGGAAATACAAAAAGTTTCTTGCTATGAAGCTCTAAACATGCTTGAGAAGCTAAAAATATTTTTGCTTCAACAAGAAGATGTCTAATCTAGCGAGGTATTATGTACTCGTAAGAAAAAAAAATGTGATAACAACTCTAAAACATAAATCATTATCCCAAACAATTTAAGATAAATATTTTATTTCATCTTAAATATTTAATGTAACATAACATATATTTATTTATAATATACAGATAATTATTACTATATAGAGATAACTTTTCTTAAGGCAAGAATTAGAAAAATTATAACTTATTACAATGTGAATTTTATTCTTATTTATAACTATCCCTAATTGAGACAAGAATTTTTTATGACTATGTAGAGTTTATTTCTATATAAAATATCACTATAGAGAGATTTTACTATATTAAAATATTTGATTTTTTCTTGGATATTCTTCAGATTTATAGTGATCTACACATCTCCAAAAAAATAAAAATAAAATAAAAAATAATTCAATTTGCTTGATTTCAATAGCTTGCTGTTCTTACTCAGTTCTTAAATTTTCAAGTTCTATTTTAAGCTTATTGTATGATAATTTTAATAACATATCCCTTAAAAAAAAAGAAGCTTAAGTCCCATAATATTTTCCAATTAGAAGCAAGAATTGTCTTTAAAAAGGGGAAAATTTATATCCCAGTGAAAGGTTGATATTGGCGTAATTTTCATGAAAAATATATAATTGAGAAGGTATAAGAAGTGGAGTTGAAATATGAATATAACAGTAATTTTGGAAATAGGTGAGGTTCGACTAGATTTTTGTATATACTTAAAAAATTTGGTAGGGTAAATTTAAAAATGGGGTCTAGTAAGATAAAAAGTGGGGGTCAATAGGACCACTCTTAATTTAAAATTAATTCTGTTAAGGATTAGATTTGTGATTAGTGATGAATTTAGAATTAATAGTTTTGTTAAAATATTTATTATTTTGATAATGATAAATATAAAGATAAACCGGACATTTCAGAGGCTTAAAATCAGTGAAATAGTAATTTGGATGGACATTACCACCATTGAGTGGCCAAATGGTAAATTAGGACTCTTGAGTGTATTACTCAAGAAATTTTGAGTTTGATTCACCTTAGACCGGTAGTTCCAAGGTCTTGAAGGATTAGTTGAGGTGCGCATAAGCTGGTCCAGACACTCTTGATCATAAAAAAATAAAAAAATTGGATGGACAGAGATTAGTGGACAATGCAAAGTTAATGGTTTTTTAAAATCGAGGATAGGAGATTATACTTTCATCAAATTAACCTAATGTGAGAATAGTAATTCGGCCAAAAAAAAAAAAAAAAATTGAACTAGTAATACACTCCTTTGATCAGTTTTTTATTTGACTTACTGTATTTTAATTTAAAATGTGCAAAATAATTTTAATGAAATTTATTTCCGTGAGTTGTGAATAAGCAAACATTATATGCAATTCAAGGAACTTCTGCCTCCCAAAACTGGCTTTAGTTTTTACGAAATTCTTTTAAGAGAAATCAATTGATCCAGCTCAAATGAAGACAAGGGTGAGCTTCACAAGATTGCATAGGATGCCCGCTCTAATTAACTAGAGAAAAAAGGGTCTTCATTCAATTTCGAAGAACACAACTGTCCTCAAATTTTAATGAAAAAGGGTCTTCATTCATTCATTTTCGATAAACGCAACTCACAACTGTACAAATTTTGCATGAAAATGGCTAAACCGTTTCACGGAGGCCTTTCTGAAATTGGAAGATGAAAGGCAAATTGTTGAGACGTCTTTGTCGCATTTATGATAAAGCTTTATAATCACAGCTAATTCTGTAATTCATGCATGTGCGCATCTCATCTTTTGCTCCTTTTCTCTTGTACTGTAAAGAAAATGCTCATCAAGGGATGCCTCTAAATTATATCACAAATTATACGTATAAACCTCTAAAACTTTTATTCAAAATTAATCATCTTCCACAGGTTTCTGAATTATCAAACAAATCCTAAACTTTTGTTTCTGACATTTCACATTTCCACCTATGTATTTACCTTTTATTTTAACAGATTGCTGTTAAAGTCAAGGGCGTTGTTGTTAGTTTCTAAACTTTATTGGTGTTGTAAAATTGTATGGGTGTCCACCCCATCAAGCAGAATGATAATAAACACTTGTCACAACTTCAAGCTGTCTAGAGTTCAGCATTTGTAGACTGCAGAAAACACAGAAAAAGTTCATCATTTGTACACTACAGAAAACACAGAGACGCTACCATGGCGAAACAGAAGCACTTTGTTTTCGTTGAAGCAGCTTGCTTTGATATGGAATTGCATTGGTTACATGTTAGGATGGAGCTCAGATCAGCTGGTCACGGAGTCACTTGTATAGACCTGGGAACTACTGGGTTTAATACCAAAAAATGGGATGAGGTTCTTAATCTTTCAGAATTCTTGCAGCCACTCACAGGATTCCTACGCTCTCTCAGACCTCCACAGAAAGTGATTTTGGTCGGTCACAGCTATGGTGGCCTCAGTATATCTCTGGTCACCGAGAAATACCCGGAAAAAGTCTTGGCCGCAGTGTTTGTTTCGGCCTTTATGCCTAATCACAGAACTCCCCCGGGATTTCTCTTACAAGATGTAAACATTTGTTTCTTTACTATGTTAAAATTAATATGTTTAAGATGCTTTATTTTACTAACCCTCTTTTTGTCTTTGTGTTTGGTTACTAGTATCTGGACAGGACTCCAAGGCAGTCCTTCATGGATAGCCAGATAAAATACGACAATGGCTCGGAAAAACCTCCAACGTCGATTCGCTTTGGTTACGAATACTTAAGGACCAAGGCGTATAAGAACTGCCCCCTCCATGTAAGACGTCTTTTAAGTATAAATCTTATAAATTTAATAATGAATGTCTAACATGCTAAGCGCTATACGTTACATCTCCTTAAATTTAACCGTTGCCGCATAAATACAGACATATGTGAGCGGCTTCTGGACGGCAAGAACAACAAGGTTTTTGCTGGAAGAGTTGTCCCAAGAAAATCTGTTGACAAAAGAGAGGTATGGCGCAGTGGATCGATATTATGTGATGAGTGAAGAGGATGATGTGATAAAGCCAGATTTCCAGAGGGAAATGGTCGAGAATTACCCTCCACAACAAGTGGTGATGATAAGGGGAGCTGATCACATGATCATGCTTTCTAAGGCTGCAGAGTTAATCAAAACCTTGAAAGATATTGCTCTCAAATATAAATGATATGTGGGTTCAATATAATCTCTAATCTCTAATGTTTAAGTTGTGTTTGTGTTTTAAGGATACCGTCAAGACTCTTTAATGTTTAACCTGTCTTGTATAATTAGTATTTCTCTTAATTTCGTGAGTCTTATCCCAGTAATATAAATGAAGAATTTTAACTACTAAAAGCTTCGTATTTGTTTGAATTATTGAGTTTCTGGTTTATTTTCTTGATTATTTGAACAACATAATGACTGAGACGTTAATTTAAACTTATACCGAATTGATCGTAACTCCAATTCCAATGTTCTACAGTTATTAATCCACAAAATTCTCCTCTTTTTGTTTTGTTTTTTTTTTTTTTGGGCTAAGAGGAACTTAACACTACCAGACTATTTGGTAAAAGGCATGCTGCAAATAATATGACACTCAATATATACCAAACATTATCACCACTAGATGACCTGATGTTAAATGAGTAAAAAAAGATTCTATGAGATGTAAGTTCAAATCCTATAGGCCTTAATGAGGTAGTACCCAGTCATCAACTTCAGGGCCTAGGGGTTAATTGAGATGCGACAAGTCGCCTAAACATCCCGGTCACCAAAAAAAAAAAAAAAAAAAAAAATTATATAATATATTATTATATATATATATATATATTGTAGATGCAAAAATCTACCGTTACGGAAAGAGGGACTGATCCCGTGAGGTTGAGGCCATTAGCGATCTGCTGCACCTACACACATGAGAAACAAGCGTGAAGCAGACGGAAAACACCGGGGTGGTGTTTGCTGTAGGCACTCTGACGCTCAAGTCAATAAGGCTGAATGAGGCTAGTTTTAGTGAGGGTTAGGGAAAGGAAGAGTTACCGGAAGTCTAGTCGGGGACCGTGGCTACATCTGTAATGCGAAGTTCTCAAGTGGGAACTCCAGGGTCTGAAGGTGTAATGTTTTATGTCCTTTGTGAGAGGGCTGACCTCTATTTAAATAGTGACTATATGACCTTCCAATCCTAGTGGGACTGGGAGTCCTCGTAGTAGTAGTTCTCCCAAAGGGTGTAACCTTTGACTCCCTTATCTCAGCAGGAAAGGGAGTTCGAGCGTGACTCGGATATGGACCTTGGAGGAATTGGGATAGTAGTTGACTTCCTTATCAGAGTTCCAGTAGGAGTGTAATCCGTAAGCGACTGTGGGCTCCAAATTGACCGTATGCCTAGAAGGTGTTCTAGGATCAGGAGGCCTGGGTCCAGACTGTAAAATCTGACTGCACTTCATACCGAATGGGCCTCATCTGCAGAATTCTGACTTGGGCCCCATCCGGATTGGGCCTAGGCTTTCATCTTTGTTAGAGGTGTTTCTCTGTTTGGGCTGGGGACATTTTTTGGCCCTAACAATTTGCCCCCCACTCTCTGAGTTAAGGAATGCTTAACTTAGAGAGTATGCATCGCTTGGAGGCGATCTGGTCGACCGATTGATCACATGATCGTGCTCGTAGTCCGTGAGTTCTTTGGTACGCCTAACCAGATGGATGGAGGCGACATGTGGTCATGAACACACTCGGTGCCTTTAACCGAGTCAGAGTGTGTAATCAACCCAAAGGGATGCCGTCAATCGGTGTATGGAGCCGGGCGAGCAGGTTTATGAGCGAACAGTCTCGTGAAGGTGTATGCGCTTGGTGTGTCAGACCAAGTGCGTGAATGAATGAGTTTTCTACTGAAGGTGTATTCACTCGGTGTGTCAGACCGAGTGCGTGAATGAATGAGTTATTTATTGAAGGTGTATTCACGTGGATCGGTCAGACCGAGTGCGTGAATGAATGAGTTATCTATTGAAGGTGTATTTACTTGGTGTTTTCGACCGAGCGGAATGCATTACACCTAATATGGATGTGGTGCCTTGGGCGAATTGGTCGAACCCGAGCGAAGTGATGTACACATGCTTAAATTTTGTTCGCTACCGGCTCGTCTGTCCAGGATGACTGATTAGCTTGATACCCTTTATCTTTGCTAGTGCTTGTCTCGATGCTAAAAGCAGGGTTACCTGTTTGCTGCTGGCTGCCCAGTCAGGAGGATTTCTTGAATGGGTGAAGTAACAAAATGCATTGGCTTTTCCGCGGATAATTGGTATGCTTAAATATGCCAGCTTGGTTGGGTAGGCCGTACGATCCAGCGTGGTACTTGCTCGCGATCGCGATTTCCTAGCGTGCGCGGATTCATTCCACGTGTGTGGTGGAGATTCTTTCTTTGTTTGGGCGGGAATTTGAAAAGACAATTCTCCTAGGGCAAAGCATGTTTTGCCACGTGGACCATCGATGTGATGGTTATTAAATGCAGTGTCTGAACGTTTTTGGGTGCGATTCGTCTTTCCAAATAGAAAACTGGAGAGGAGTTCTTCTTTCATAGGGGAATATTTTCACAACTTTGGGATTTTTCCGGCACCTTTTCATGGTAATCGCTTCTTCTGGGTCCTCTCTTTTTGATTTATTGCCTTTGGTTTGTTTCTAGGGTAGTCTTGTGTTATTTTTCAAGGTGATTTCGAGTATGTAGAGGAGGGAATCTAAAGAAAAGTTTTCAGGTTTTTCTCGTTTGCTATGAAATTGGTTTGTGTTTGCATTTGGGTAAGTTATTGTAAGGATTTGAAAAAGTTTTTGCGAGAAGGTTGGAATTTTGGGCTAAACGGAGAAGGTAAAGGATTTTTTCTGGCTACCGAGGATTCTGGGTTTATGGTGGCATTTCTAGGTTTTTAGAAGATGGAGTCAATTTATATTGGTTTCTTGTTCGACTCGTCTCGGTCTGCTTGATTGAGTCGAGTACAATGTTTAGCTAGGTTTTTTAAGTTTGGCAGTCTTTCTGGGTCGACCGGTCTCTTAGACTGAGAGGTTGGTGGTTGTCGTCCGGGTCGAGTCAAAGGTCTAATAGGAGTTGGAAGAGTTTGGTTTTTGATCAGTCAGTCGGTGGCTTAGCACGAGTGAGGCACTGGAGCTGGGTTAGATTTTTGGAGTCGGTCGATCAGTGGTGCAAGGCGAGCGGTGATCAAGTAGTAGTTGATTTTGAGGAGACTAGGTCGGTCGACGGTGAGGGATGAAGGGTGATCAAGTAGAAAAGGTTTTGAAGGGAGTTGTTCGGTCGGTGGTGAGGGACGAGGGGTGATCAAGTGAATAAGTTTTGAAGGAAGTGGGTCAGTCGGTCGGTCGGGGAGAGTGAATAGGTTGAGCAATGTTTAGGTCAAAGTTCAGTAGTTCGAGTGGGGCTGAGGCAAAGGTCGGGAATGAGTACGAGAATGCCCCAACCATGGTGATGATGCCTGAAGGTGGGGGCGTTCCGGTCGGTATACCAACCGGTGTGAACGTAACTACCCTTGGGACGAGTGGAGCTAATCCGAGTGATCCTGGCAGGCAAGGGGAGAGTGGGGAAGACTCCAAAGGAGTTGGTGATTTTGGTAGTTCATCCTCTACTCATAGTGGCTCTAAGGACGAGCCGAGTCGGCCAGGTGGTGGGATACTGAGCCAAGATTATCCGCCCTTATTGAAGGACAATGATATGTGGTAGATCCAGACAATGTATCATATTCCAGAATCCGTTGAGATTAGGGCAACTTGATCGTACGAGCGGGTCGACTGGGAAGCGAAAGGATGGGTGAGCGCCTATGAAAAGTGGTTCCATGATAGGCTCAGGCTTCCCATCCCTCGCCTCGTATGGGAGGTCTTGGACCATTTCAAGATTGCTCCGTCACAACTCATGCCGAATGGGTGGAGGCTGCTGATGGCTCTAGAGGACCTTTGTGTACGACATCAAGTGATGTTTGGGCTGCACGAGCTGCTTTATTTGTACTTCCTAAAAGAGAATGATAAGAACAAAAGTCGATACCTACTGAACCTTAGGCACGAGCGAGATCACCCATGACCGACCTTCGGTCAAGTGATAAGAACTGGAAGGATCGATACTTTTTTATGCAGGGTAACGCAGTCTTCGGGGAGAGAGGCCAGGGCGACATTCCGTTCACTTGGCGAGCTACTGGTGAGAAACTTTGTCTTTATCTCGAATTTTGGTTACTAAAATCTTATTGTGTTTTTTCTTTGCAAAGCTTGAATTCAACCGAGCGGGGCAGAGTGGGGACAGCTTGGACGTGTAGACCCAGAAGGTTCTAGCTATTCCAAAACCGCAGAGGGATTGGCGAGTGGTGTTGGAGGAAGCTAACCTCAAGACGAGTCATCTCTAGGTCGGAGTAGAAGCCATCCAGCGAGGTATCCCCTTCCCTTCGCTGAAGCAAACCTAGAATGTGTTATTGACTCGCTACTGCAATCATACCTTGTATGGTAAGTCGAGGCTGAATCCACTAACTGTTGGAGAGTTTGCGATTGCAAAAAAGCTAATGAAGAAGCTGACCATCCCAAGTGCGAGCGAGTCTATTGCTAGGCGCCAGGAGAAACAAAAAAAGGAGTCTTCGGCTAGAGAGGAGAGGAGAGGAGAGAAGAGAAGAGCAGAGGATGTGGTGGCAACTCCACCAAGTCATCAGCCTGTGGTCGGGGCTGGGTCATCCAAGATCATAGTATTGAAAGGATCACCTTCAGCATCCCAGCTTCTATGTCGACCTACTCGGACGCGGCTTCCATGAGTCAGTTGGCCTACTCATTCCTGTTCCCAACAGACGAGACCCGTTTGAACTAGATGGGTACGGTCGCAGTCGCAGTTGCTGACTGGGGGGTTTTCCATGCTTTTCAGGTATAAGCCAGAGTTTTACTTTACTGTGTTTATTGTTGACGTATACTGATCAAGTTGTTTTGTTATGCAGGCATTCACCAGCAGCCTGCACCTGAGGAAATCTATCGTGTCGTAAGAGAAGAGGACACATGATGTATCGAAATCTAATACCAATCTGCGACAGCGAGAAGCGGCAACTCAAAGAGCTGAGTGGGAGAGCCATCAGCGTCTGAAGGAGGCCGAGAGTGAGTTAGAGCGGCTGAGGAGAGAGTTGGCTGAGAGGATCGCAGAGCTCAAGTCCTTGAGGGAGCAGTGCTTGA